TATACAAAATATATACAAAAGACATATTTGTATAAAATTTGTATGAAAATTATTTCGGAAACAGTCTCTCTACTCCTTCGAGGATAGAGGTAAGGTCTGCATATACACTATCCTCCCTAACCCCCACTAGTGAGATTTTACTGGGTTGTTGTTGTTGTTGTATGAAAATTGTATTTAAGTTGTATGATATTGTAATTGTATTTAACTGGATAAAAATAATCTATAAAAGTTATAGATTAGTTTTATACTATATAATTAGTTATAAAATTTATTTTTAGTTTATATATTATTGTAGATGTATCAAATTTCGATAATGCAGTAACTAATCTATATTATTATAAAAGCATGAATACAATGTCGGTTTACAAAAATAACCTTATAATATTAAGCATAATAACTCATAATAAAAAGAAATAACCAGAATTCTAGCGATTAGCCTTATAATCCTATTAGTTTTAGGACATAATACTACACCTTAGTAATCCTACAAAATTACCTTTAGAAATCTTATTAGTATAATTACTTTCGAGCTGTCTAATTCATATAAAATTGAACAAGTAAATATCTTTAGTCATATAATCATATTACTTTTAATTTTCATGTGCGGATAAAATTGTAACATTGAAAACTTTTACTAATTTATAATAATTCGCATGAGGTTCATATACAAAGCAAGATTCCTACCCACTGTTATGTTCCATAGTCATATAGTATAAATTAGATAATTTCCACCGCTGCTTCATACTACCTGCGTAAAGGAGGCATTGCCTCTTTCATTGGAGCACGCACTAATTTGGTAAAATTAAAAAAGACTTCCAAGAAATTGATATTTGCAATTTAACTGGGATCGATTATTGAAAATTTAATATTTTTATGTCATGCATTATGTATAAATATCGTATTAAGAAGCATGACACTGTTAGTAATAATAGCAAATAATATACAAATAACGATTTTATTGTGAGGCCACCCACATTAGATTTGATATACCTCTTCAAACAACTTAAATAACTATCACAAATATATCAAAGCAGAGCAATTGTGCTAAATTTATAAGGAAAATAAAATTGATAATATGGGATGAAACACTTATGGCTAAGTGTCAAACGATCAAAATAATTGTCCGGAGTTCTAGAGAGATATTGGATATTAATGAACCGTTTGATGAAAATTAATAATTTTGGAGGTAATTTATGTCAAGTATTACCAGGAGTTCCAAAATCAACAAAAGCAGAGATTGTAAAAGCGAGCTTGCCAAAGTTATACTTCTGGCCTCAAATAAAAAGATTCAACAAACAAGAAATATAAATTAAGAACAAATTCAGTATTCGGTGTCTTCTTGCTTCGTGTCGGAAACAAATAAGAGCATTCAATAAAAGATGATTTGGTTCTTTCTGAACACTTAGTTATCATTCTCAATGGTAATAGTAGTGCATTTAATTAGAGAAATATTTCTATTATATTAGATTAAAACGCAATTTGTACAAATCACATGATAGAATTAAAAAGATATCTTAGCTGGCAGAAATGAATATGTTGATCAACTAAATAAAATGTTGATTGCAAAATTTTATAGTAAAAATAAAATGCTTTTCTGTTTTTGACTCAACAGAAAATGATACCAATAATTATTACCAAGACGAATACTTAAATACTTTAATACCAAATGATCTTCTGCCATATATGTTTGTTGTCAAGTTTATTATTTCTTACCTATGTTGGTGTCACCGTACATAGAATATACTAAGTTAAAATTGATCTTCCATTGTATATAAGTTGATTTTAAAGAAAAATATGCATATCATGCTACTGAAAAACTTACAGACGCCGAATAGCTTATATAATAGCACACAAATGGTATATATATAGAAGTTTTGACAAGAACGGTTAATGTGCTTCTAAGTATATTCTTATCCCCGAATTCCACTTTTGTCTTTCGAAACTAAGGAATATCCTTTTAAATTTGTGTGAAAATAATTTTTAGTATGTTTATGTTTTGCAAACATAATAAATAAAGCACAAGGACAAATATCCTAAATATTGGACTATATTTAAGTAATATGTTTTCTTGCACGAATAACTGTTTGTTGCATTTTCAATAGGGATACCAAGATCGACAACAAGAGGTTTGGTTAAGGCAGAGTAACCAAAGCATTAGGAAGTGACATACACAAAAAAATATTGTCCACAAAAAAATATTCATTAAGATACCATCACATTAAATTCTTTTAAATTATAATACATACTTATCTAACTAACATGACAAAATTAATCATTTGTATAAGTTTTGATAATGTTTTTATTTTAAATTCATGTATTATGCTACTCTAACAATATTTTTCGACATTTAGATGATTGTTGTATTATTATACATAAAATTTATCTCATTACTCAAATTTTATTATCTTTTTATATAAAAAAATATTTAAATCTTCACGTATTATTATTAACATGCAACGCGCACGTTCATGAATACTAGTAAAACCACTAAAGGTAATCCTACGAAAAGATGTACACATGCAAAATATCATTGTAGTAAGCCAACAATTACTCGATGACAACGATAAAAAGGAGTACACGCCCAAAAAGTAGGTTCCACCAATTACATTGCTTGACGGTGACAACTAAGAAAATGTTACCGGCAATTAAGGCGGCAGAAAAATAAGAAAAGAGGTGAGAGAAAAAAAAGAAAATAGTGTAATTAAATTCTATAATTTAAAATACTAATAATAAATTATATATAATTTAATTAATTCTTATTTAAAGTGAATAATATATAAAATTAAAATAATTTTAATAAATAATTTCAAATATTGTACAAAAAAAAATAATATCCCCAAAATGAGTGAACTCGACATGTCCAAATTCTCTAACAAAAGAATGTTCAAATTACCTTAGGTTAGAGCTCTCGCCTCTCTTAGCGGTCAAGGGAAAAAACGGGCTATACCTAAAAGGAAGGATAAGATTAAATTAAAAGTCTAATAAAATATAAATTGCTTAATTTCAGATAGTTCATGATAAATTTAACCTTGTTCCCAAAGCCCCTAAAAATATACTCCTTTCGGTTCACAATAAATGAACAATTTGCTTTGGACACACCCGTTAAGAAAATACTAAATTTTATACAAAATAGTTAGTGTGACCAAACTTAAATGTTGCAACATAATTTAATGTGAGGAGTAAAAAACTTTTTATGGATACGTACATAAGAGTAATTTTGGAAAAATAAATTGTATTTTTTCTTGATTATATAAATGGACACTTATTTTGGACCAAAATAAAAAGGAGAAATTCAAAAATAGCCAGATTTACAAGTGATCATTCAAAAATAGCCACTGTTTCAAAAGTAATCGAAATTTAGCTACTTTTCATGTAAAGATAAATCTGAACGAAAATACTGTTCAAAATTCGAAAAAATACTCCAGTATAATATACTGGAATTCCAATATAATATACTAGAACTCCAGTATAATATACCGGTCCAGCATAATATACTGGAGATTGGAGCACAGGTGCACCGACCTTCAGTATACTATGTTAGAACTTTCCGTGTTGCAGCAAAATAGTGACTATTTCTTAGTGACTTTGCAAATGCTGGCTATTTTTGAATGATCAGTTTGAAAATTGCTAGCCTGAGCTATTTTCATAAATAAAAAAGTAAATTGATCACTTATTGTGGACCGGAGCTATCATGGTCTTGAATGGAAAGTGCAAATGAAAGCGCTGGTTTTGAGGAGATAATGCATTACTCAAAAATTCCGTATGAATTTAATCACTCAGCCATTTGTAGTTGTGGTCCATTATGAATTTCAGGTTGTCTGGTTGACCTTGAACGAATTCGTGAAGATTTTATGTTATTTCCTCCTATGCGGGTATATATCGGGTAAAATTAATAATTCGAATCGTTAATTATTTATTGAGTTATCGGTATCGGGTTATTGGGTTAATGATTCGGTAACAATTTAGAATTTATTTTATTATTGGATTGTCGGTTCGGGCCTCGATTTGCCAATTTTGTTAATGGGTTAATCGATAACCCAATAAGAATTAATAAAATTACGACTTTACCCTTAAGTATATACATATGATAGGACTTCAGTTAATTCTCTCATATTCTTTCTCAGCCGAACTCTTCAGTTGCTTTATCTTCATTCTTCATAGACCTTACTAGTGTCTTTAGTCTTATATATTAGGCTTTTGATTTTTATAACAAAAATTCATCTTCATATTGGTATTTTTGACTGTTAATGATTCTTTATTTTTTATTTTTGTTTCTTAATTTTGTGAGCTCACGTTATGCAGCCTATACCTACTACCAGTTTTTCTTCGCACTTAGCAATTCTCAATCGACAATCTTCGTCAGTTTCAGATATATTTATGAGCATTATTCTTTTGTACAGTACGTTGAGCTTTGACAACAAGATACCATTTTCTTGCCTTCTAGGTATTTTTTTATTTCTGTGTTAGTATTGCTCATGCACATATCAAGGTTTTGCTATATGATTTCTTTTTTAATGTTAGACATTTGACAAACAACATCCAATTTATTTGGTGAAGCGTATAAGGATTGAGTAGTTGCTGACTTGTTAACTTGAATTTGAACTGTTAATACTATATGTTTGGACTTATTAATTTTAAGGTGAAATCGCTACTACTTTGTATTATTATCGTCACGACCCATCGGTTTGATTAATTACCAGCAAAATTGAGAATTATTCCCAGTTACTTAAAATATCACTCACTTTTCACATACCTTGCACATCTTACTAGCATGAGCATATAGTACCTTGCATATCACTAGTTCATAAATACCGGGTAATAGGACATTATTCGATTAACTATTAAATAGTACCTTGCATGTCACTAGCTCATAATACTCCAAGGACACGTGGCAGCCCCCAAACCTTATGACTCTAAGTCACTGAAGGATAGGTGGCAAGATTTGAATCATTACTGACATGTGGTGGCTGCACATCCAAATATAAAGCATATCTTTAACTTAAGATACATGAAGAGATAAGTAACTTGAATCAAAAATGAATCCGAGCAAAATGTTGTTCTTTCCAAACTTGAATGAATCAGAAACGTTATTTCCTCTCAATTCTTAAGAAACGAGAAAACATTTTCTTCTCAACAACTTCAAGGAAACCAAAAACATTTCCTTCATTCCAAAATTTTAGAAACCAGAAGCTATTCTTCCATGAATTTCTAAGAAGTAGGGGAAAATTTCGTTCAATCAACGAGGGTTTTTCAACGGAATATTATACGGAGTTTTCTCTACTCCAGGTGTGTTAGGGCTAAGTTTTTCCTTCATTTTGTAATGATCTCGTCATTATACAAGTTTGATAACGAGGCATAAAGAAAAATTCATATCCTGAAATTTACGTATGTTTTGCTAGTGTCGCAAATTGCGTGTATTTTTCTAATTTTGTAAGTTATAATATTCTCCTTATCGGGACTTCATATTCAGTTGATTATTTCCTTCTTCCAGTCAAGAGAGCAGAGAATTTACATATATACAGTATTAAAAGTATTTTCATTACCATCGAGCAATAATCGATAGGCAGGCCCCTATTGGGCAACCTCAGATCAGATGATAAGTTATATACCGAGTCTACTGTGGCTGAGCGCCTATGATCGAGCCCAGCATGGTCGAGATACAGAGCCTAGTATGGCCGAGCGCCTATGAGCGAGCCTACTACGGCAGAGTATCTTTGACTAGTAGTATCTTTGACTACGACAGAGTATCTTTGACTATGAGCGCCCTATATATATACCGAGCCTTATAGGGCTGAACAACTATTTTACTTACTATATTGAGAGAGTTGAGTCAGTATCAGCAGGTAAGCATATCTTCAGATTATCTTTGACTTCCATCTACTTGCAGTTATTAAATTATCAGTTCAGTTTCAGCTTTCAGTATATTGCCTTACATACTCGGTACATTATTTCGTACTAACGTCCCTTTTGCCTGGGGACGATGTATTTCATGCCCGCAGGTCCAGACAGACAGGTCGAGAGTCCTCCAAGTAGACTCTCAGCTCAGCGGAAGATGGTTGCTGAAGATGGTGTATCGCTCCATTTGCTTCGGAGTTGCGTGTTTGATTAGTATGATTTAGATGTGTATTGTTTGGTATGGTGGGACTCTGTCCCGACCTTTATGACATTTATGTACTCTTAGAGACTTGTAGACTTATGTCGCGTACGTGAAAGATTTTACAGCTTTGTCGGCCTATGTTTTGAATTTATAAATGATCATGTTGGCATATTAGGCCCGTATGTCACGTGTATATGATGATGTAATAAGAAAGATATGTTACGTTGGTACTCGGTTGAGTAAGGTACCGGGTGCCCGTCATGGCCCATCGGTTTGGGTTGTGACAATTATTAATATATTTGGACAACTGTTGTTGAAGAAATAGTACTATTCCAGTTGTGGCCACTCGACAGAGCGCAGAAATGAGTAGTATACTATATGTGAATTCTTCTCTTTCTTGCTTAACTCCAGTGAATTGTCTTCTCTTTTTTGCTTAACTCTAGATTGAGTTATTTTATCGGGTAAATCGATAACCGAACCGATAATGATCGATAACCGATTAACCGATATCTAGATTCGATTATCGATTTATCAAATTTGTAAACCGATAACCGATATGCTTAACCGATAATATTCATAACCGAACCGAACCGACCGATACCTACCCCTAATTTCCTCAACCTCATTTTAGTTGTCGCATTTAGCTCAACAAAATTATTCCAAAATAACTGATACTCTAGGATTTCAAAATTAAATTTGTTAATTATTTCCAATTATATCTTTAATATTAAATAAATAGTAATTTTTTTTGTACTGCTCAATTTTTAAAAAGTATTTAACAGGAGTAACTTAATAAATTAGACCTTTTAATTTTTTTATTAGACGTGAAAAAAAAGTAAAGTGATAATTAAAATGGGACGGAGGGAATAACGTTAGAGGGGTGCTTCACAATAATGGGTAACAGCTAACAAGGTGTCTTTAAATTATAGTTTGGGATAAAAAATAATGTCATGTGGGAATATTATTATGTCTCATTTTTATTTTAATCTGACAAGGTTCCAGCTACTACCAGACAAGTTCCATTTTCATTTTTCAATCTTTTTTTTGGATAATATATTTTTTGGTAACTAACTAGTTTATATTACCACTTGGAAATATGCAAGAAAGGACAATATTGTGTATATACCTGATGCGCATGTATATCCAATCAAGTCTGATCTAATATCGATTCCTTCATTCCGTGAATGATGGAGCCACGAAGTATCACATGAATGATGGAACCACAAAGTTTCAAAATTATCAAACTATTAGTAGTCGTATGGCTACGGAATTAGGATACTAGTATCGGGATAAAATTTGGGATGATATTCCCATGTTTGCTTGTAAATATTGATTAATACTGAAGTAAATTTTGCACCTAACTATCTCATATTGGAGGTGAAATAATAATTCCTATATAACTCTATTTGGAACCAAACTAGCCACTTAATATTCTTATCCCATAGATATATAGTATTATTTTCTCATGAATGTTAGTTATCTCATAGTAATACACTAATACATGTATATTTCTTCTCTTGCTAAAGCGCCGTTCTTTCTCGAAAACACTACAAATTATGTCCATTTATAAGTAGTTTATTACAAAAATTGGTTCATTCATAAAATATTATTAATATTAGCCAATTAGCTATTTGTAGGAAAAAAAGATCAAATTTTTACTTTCTTTTGAGTGAGTATTATTAGAATAGATTGAGATCTTAAGGAGTTTGAATATCAGTTTTGCGATGATTTGGTGGAGTTTTGGGGTGGTTTGAGTTGAAAATTCGAAGTAGAAGATGAACACGAAAAAATTGATATGTGTATCACATTGTATATTATTTATGTATCACATATGTATCAAATGTATATCACATGCATATCCATGTATACGTGTGTGTGGGATACATATTTGATACATGTGGCGCAGAAGAATTTTTTGAACCCAATTTTAACTATGAATTTTGATACCAAATCAGTCCAAACCTCCAATCTTCCTCAAATTTTGTATATTGACTCATCTATATGTTTTCAATGAATTCCAACCATACCCATTGAAAAAAGTCCCCTTTTTGCTTATATTTTTTGAATCTTGTATGTATATTTTTTTGTATTTCATCACCTAATTTGCTACCTCGTCCATGAAATTTTCTTTCCATCTTGCATCTAATGTTGTTGATCACGCTTTAAAATATGGAAGGAGATCTTTGCTTGTGATTTTTGGAGAGAAAAAACTTTATTTAAATAAGAGTAGTGGAAATTTACCCCGCTTGCGGAAATATATTTGCGACGCGTTTGCACATAGAATTTCTCAAATAAGTATTATTATAATATTCTTTAATTCTTTTCAAAATATGAAATCCAAATGAAAACTTTCAAGTCTCGAAACCCTAAATTTCAACTCTTTTCAAGGCATTTAACAAGCATACTCGATCTAAATTCCTTTCAAGGCAAGTAATAAACAAGGTCAAATAACGGTATCAGCAAATCATGGTGTAAACCTAGAACTACCCGGACATAGGCATAATTAGTAGCTACGTACGGACTCTCGTCACCTCGTGCGTACGTAGCCCCACAAATAGAAGCATGTATTAATTTAGTTCACCTATGGATTAATTCCCTCTTACAAGGTTAGAAAGGAGACTTACCTCGTTCCGAAGTTCCATAACTGGCTCCAACACCTTTCCAACAACTCAAACTGATGCCCATCGCTCCAAAACTAGTCAACAAATGTGCAAATTCATAAATATATACTCTAATACTCAGTATAATTCAATTCACAATAATTCTCAATTTCGCTCGAAAAATTGATAAAATCACCCTCGGGCCCGGATTCCGAAAATTTTCGAAGATTAACTTTACCCATAACACCACGAACTCAAATATATAATTTATTTCAAATTCCATGCCCAAATTCGTGGTCAAAGTCCAAAAATACCAATTTCTAGATATTCTATCAAAATCCCAATTTCTACAAATTTCCATGCTTAAATCTGTATATAAATCATGTATTTAACTCACAAGTGAAGAACATACTTACCCCATAATAATTGATGAAGATGGCACTACAAATTGCTCTAAAATCGGCTACTATAGATGAAATGAAATGAAATCGAGCCAAACCCTTCGTTTTAAAGAGGGCACTGCCCAACCCGTCCTTCGCACCTACGATCCTTTAGCCGCTTCTGCGCCTCCACTTCTATGGAGGATTTCTCGCAGGTGTGGCTTTCCCCCAAGGCCAGCTCTTCCGCTCCTGCGCTCATTCACCGCAGGTGCGCATCCGCTTCTGCGGGAAACCTTCCGCACCTGCGGTCTCCTAGCCTTCACTTTCTTCTGCTTCTGCGACCAATGGGCCGCTTCTGCGGGCTCGCACCTACGACACTCTTCACACAGGTGCGATTACACCAGATGCCCAGCTGCTTCAGCTCCTCTTCCAAATCCAAATTCGATCTGTTAACCACCCGGAATTCGCCCGAGGCCCCTAGGACTCCGTCCAATCACAACAACTAGTTCCAAAATATAACACGGACCTGCTCAAGTCCTTAAATCACATCAAACAATGTCTAATTCATGAATCTCACCCCAATTCATGCTTAATAAACTTAAGAACTTCAAATTTCTACATTGGATGCCGAAACTTATCTGTCACGACCCCGGTTCGCCCTCCGTGAACCATCGTGACAACACCTAGTCTCTATGACTAGGTAAGCCTAAAATGCGGAAGATAACCCAAATTTGCGGAAGCAAATAATTTAAAATAGAAATAGAGTAATAAAACAACGTTTAAAAGTGCCTCTCGACATACACAATATTAACTCTTAAAACCAATACATTTTTTCAAAACCCGGAAACCCATGAATCACATGCTAAGAGATACATAAGAAGCTCTAACTCCAGAAATGTCTAACCAAAAGGGGAATACTGAAGGGCTATACTATTATAAAAAGATAGAAAGGGACTCCTCGGTCTGCGAACACGACAGATATACCTCGAAGTCTATCAAGAAGCACCTTGCTTCAAGGATGATAAGACAGAGTAAACGTACCTAGATCTGCACATGAAAAACATGTGTAGAAGGGGCATGAGTACACCACAACGGTACTCAGTAAGTGCCAAGCCTAACCTCAGCCGAGTAATGACGAAGAAGGTCAGGGTCCTACTGAGGTTAAATAAAATATAAGATATAACCGTGTAGAATAAGACAATATAATTAAGTGCAACAGTAAGAAATTACATAGAATAGAAAGAAAAACAACAACTAGAACAGAGACAAAATAATCACGGAAAGGAAATACAACTCAACATAGAGATAACAACCGGGGTACCTTCCAGGATACCATCCTGTAGTCCCAATTACATCTATCCAGTAGATCTCCTGGGATACCGTTCCGTAGTCCATCATACGTATTCGAAAGATCTCCCGGGATCCTGTCCCGTAGTCCAACTATCAGTGCGCGGGGATCTATTGAAATCCCGATCCGTAGTCCCAAATATAAATACCCAGTACTGGGGGAATCTACCGAGTGCAGTCCCGTAGTTCCATATAACTGTGCAGGGGGATCTACCGGAATTCCACATCCGTAGTCCCAATTAAATAGACAAGGGGGATCTACCGGAATACCACATCCGTAGTCCCAAATAAACATACAAGGGGGAGGGAGGATCTACCGGAATCCCACATCCGTAGTTCCAAATGTAATTACACAGCAACATCAGGAAAATATTCAGAAATGTCAATTTCATATCGAGGAAAACAAGTAATTCTAGCCTAGCATGCTTCACAGAATTCAGGTAAAGCAGTTTGAGAAAATAAGGCAATTAAAACACTTAGACATGCTTTCCTAAGCTAACAACAGGCTTTAAATTCAGGTAATATGAGTAGGAAAAGAAACATACTAGTAATTACTTAATGAAAACCAGATTTTCAATAATTAGCACAAGTACGCCATCGTCATCTCACGTACAAGGCATTTCAATTAACAGTAATACCAAATCCTAGGGGGAAGGTCCCCCCCACAAAGTTAGGCAAGCCACTTATCTCGAACCGGCTCAAAATCAACTCGAAACCACGTTCTTGCCACGAGTACTCGACTCCAAATGGCCCAAATTTATTCAATTCAATTTCATAATGTAAATAACACTTCGAGTAACTGATTCTACAAAGAAATTCTAAGCTAATACACGAAATTAGGTATTATGACCAAAATGCCCCTCGGG